GAATTCTATCAATGTACATAGTTTTTATATATTTTATAAATAAAATAATTTTTTTATTTCCCTGTGATCCAAGAATTAAGGGGTTTTTGTTTTTGTTTTTAAGGTGGTTGGGTTTTATGTTTTCCTTCTACTAAGTCCTAATTTTATTGCATTGTGATCAGTGTTGTACTTTATGTTATTTTACTTTTGGGAACCATACTAAAGTTTTTTTTTTAAGGTCTAATATATGCTCCACTTCTGTATCTGACCCAGAGGTATGGAAATAAAGATCGATTTCCAGAGGTATTCAATCATTCATTCATTCATTCATCCATCCATCTAACCAACCAGCTGTCTAGTTATGTACCTCTGTATTTACATATATATTTAAACATCTCAGTGATTTTATTCAGACCTTATATATTGGTCTACATAATTTTATTAATGGCTAACATGATGGTTTAGCTTCTCTTGCCACCACTGAATTTCTGTTAAATTCTCTTTGTATTTCTCACAATTAATTATTTTTAATTTTATTTGTTATATTACATTAAAAGGTACGATCTCATTTAGATCTACTGATGTAAAAAGTAACCAACACTGCATATTACATTTCCTAAATGTAATATGTCTTTGCTTTTACTCTCCTATATGAGTTATCTGTTTCTGAAAATTTATGTGACATGTGTGTGTTTTCCTCTCTAGTGATTTGGCAGTTTTAAAGTTTGTTTTTAGGAACTTTATTCTACACAGTCCTCTCGCCATAGCTGAGATTCACTCAGCTCACCTGGGTACTGCAGTTTGATGACTGCTTATACCTGGGACCAAGGGCAAGGGGTGTAGTGTGGGAAGTGGCTGGGCTTAGTTGTGGGCAATCTTGGTAATTTTGGGATTTTCCATATCTCTGTTTGGGTTTTTTTTGTTTGTTTGTTTGTTTTGTGTTTTTTTTATAATTCTTTTATGCCAGGGTCTGTTTGGAACCAATTTGATGCCTATGACTTCGGATAGTTCCCTTACTCAGCCCAGGACTTCTTAATTTCTGTTTCCATTAAGATTAATTTAGAGGGTTAATTGAGTCCAATTAGCTTCTTTCTTCCCAAAAGCCCTGTTATCTCCTCTCTCAGACTCAGCAGAGATAAGGCATGAGGCTGTCCACAGGCTGAAGGCAATATCACCCAGGGATTCTCCTATATTCTTCCCCATTCCTTCC